CCCGAACGTACGAAATAATAGTTCCCAAACACGTAATTTGCACGAACATACAACGTCGAGTTCTTAGAATTAGATTTAGACGCTTTATCGCGACGAATTCGTTGTACGAAAATTGACACGTATGTGTGACTGCGTGTATCATAGGCTGCGTGAGATATTGCTGTGGTAATATAAAAAGACATGTCGATGTGCGGCGCGCGGCGCGACATCTAGTGATTTTTCGGAGTTCGAGTTTTGCTTTAGGATCCCCTTATCCTAAAGCAAAGCTCGAACTCCGAAAAATCACTAGATGTCGCGCCGCGCGCCGCACATCGACATGTCTTTTTATACTACCCCAGCAATATCTTACGCAGCCTATGATACACGCAGTCACACATACGTATCAATTTTCGTACAACGAATTCGTCGCGATAAAGCGTCTAAATCTAATTCTAAGAACTCGACGTTGTATGTTCGTGCAAATTACGTGTTTGGGAACTATTATTTCGTACGTTCGGGTTGCAAAGCTTTCATATCAAGCAAATGTTGTCACGACTTGATAGCTGAGACGCCATGTTACACTAAGAAATAATAAAAAATATATCGATTTCGAAATTTTTGATCATTTTTAGCGTAGACTCCACTTCACAAACACGTATTAATGTGTATACTTTAATCCTGGAAAAGGATTTTCGAATCCGTGAAAGAGAAAAAGAGTATTCGTTATACAAAAATTATACGGTTTAAGTCGGTAATACAGATCTTTAGGATCCCCTTAATTGCTTTCATATACTTTACTCTTATACGCGAGCTAACACCGTCACATAATAAGTTGACTTTTTTTAAACTGAAACAATGAGCAATAAATTCAGAATCGAGATATTCTTGGATCAAATGTGAATTTATTGCTCATTGTTTAAGTTACAAAAAGTCAACTTGTAGTGTGGCGGTGCTAGCTCGCGTACAAAAGTAAAGTACATCAAAATAACACCGAAAAAATTGTATTCTTGAAAGATGTACTTAATATTTCCTCTTAACAGATATAAGAATATTTCCTCTTAAATTAATAATATATTCTCGATTTGCAAAATTGATCGTCGCCACATGTGCGCTACACGTGCGCTTCACACGGTTTTTGATGATATCCTTCTAACCATGCAACTTTTGTCTGAAGCATTTTTCTCTAAAATGTATTGTTCAAGAGATATTTGAGATCATCGTTTAAAATAGGACATCCTGTACATTCTCATATTAAGAATATATTAATTTTTAGATGATTACCCTCTTAAATTAAGAGGATCGTATCAGCGCTTATTTGAGAGGAAAACATACTATACGTAAGTAGGATATTCTTAAATTAAGAATATAATTTTTTCGGTGAATTAATTGCTGAGCCAATTTTGGTCTTAAAATGTTTCTAGAATTATTTGCTTTAAGAAAATCTAAATTCCGAATTTATTGTGCACTGAGAGAAAGGATTTTGTTAATTTAGCAAACCACCAGTACCTTTAATCGGTGATCGGTAAATATGTAACAACAAATTATGTTGTGATTGCTGCTAGTCTGCTATACCAACCAATTATTAGCAATAGAAACAAACTATATAGAATCTAACCTATCTTTTGGATAGACTTTAGCTCGTAATACTTGACTAGAATTAGTCAATTTCTTACGATTTGAGACCCTGCAACCGTCTACGACTTTTATATATATATATGAGTCTCTTATTTGCTAGCGATACTATTGATTATTTGTTACATTGATGAATTAATTTGCAATCATAACAAATGGATTGTTTTTTTAACAAATATCACATTTGCTTTCCCTTGATTTGTTCCTAGAACAAAATCTTTTCTCTCAGTGTGTGTTTATTGTTTAAGATAAAAAGGTCAACTTATATTGTGGGGGTGCTAGCTCGCGTACAAGAGTAAAGTACATGAAAGCAATTAATTGCTGGGCCAATTTTGGTCTTAAAATGTTTCTAGAATTATTTGGTCCAAAAATACCACGATTCTGAATTTATTGCTCATTAAAAATTACCGTGGGTTAAATTAAAAACGACAAAAGAAATGTATATACGGCTTATTCCACGTACGCTGGAAGACAGTAGCGAGACAGATTATATTTTATAATCTCTATATATTTTAAATAATAAATGTAGACGTTTCGGTCTATATTAGACCTTTATCAGTACAACGTAAAATTATCTGTTCATAATGATGCATCAAAAGTTATGACTAAATTACATTAATAGGTGCTTATCTTGATCTAGATAGAAATTATTTTAACGTAAACCGCAATGAAATGTTGTTCTCCTTTCATGTTGTACAATACTTGATTATTTCCATATTGATGTTAATTGTGTTACATTGACGTATATCCTTGCGAGAAAAATATGCTTATCCAGTGATAGAATTGCAGGATCCACTTTCTCTTTGAATTCACATTTAACGACATTATTGCCAGATACTATCAATTCAAGAAAAAAAATAAAAAATAAAAACACTCAAATGTTATCAATCTAAATTATAACATATGTTGTACTGATAAAGATCTAATAAAGACCGAAACGTCTACATTTATTATTTAAAATATATAGAGATTATAAAATATAATCTGTCTCGCTACTGTCTTCCAGCGTACGTGGAATAAGCCGTATATATATTTCTTTTGTCGTTATTGCTCATTGTTTAAAAAATCTCATCAGAAATGTCGCGGTGGTAGCGCATGTATAGTGACCGATATTAGTATAAGTATGTAATTATTCAAAATTCTTGAAGTTTCTTTACAGTGTCTTAGAGCAAAAGAGTAGCAAAACATTTTGATATGTGTATTTTTTGTTTACAGTACTCTGTATGTGTTTTACGGAAGTGGGGGTGCTAGTGTAACGTGAAGTCAGCATCCCCACTTTTGAAATTAATTTTCTGCGAATGGCAAGAAGCACAAAATTCGGGATTAGAGCAATAAATTAGCACTAAATTAGCACTTAATTATGGGGCAAATTTTTTTTGTGGTGGAGCCAGCTTCGCAAATGTAAATTTATGTGTATGTGTGCGTGAGATATTGATGTAATAGTATGTAGTGTCAATGACACGTAAATCGTCTGTGTATAAGTCCTACTTACTCTGTGATTAATCGTCCTGACTAATTCCTTTAAAATGGCTGATTTTAGTCCTATAAATATGACTAGAACAATATACATACATATACCATTTTGTAGGTTGCGCAAAAGTTAACGAGATATTAACGTTTAAAGATAGCCGAATAAGTGGGGATGGCCTGCTAGGCGTGCCGTTTGAATCGTTTGAAGACGTTTAGTGGCAGTTCCCACTCCCAGCGGCCCGCGCGTCGTGTGATCAGTGGGGACAGTAGGTTGTATATTCGGCAGCAGTAGGCCGGCCGGACGCGCTTATTCCGCTATCTTTAAACGTTAATATCTCGTTAATTATTGCGCAACCTACAAAATGGTATAAGATTTTTCGATTCAATTCGGTCCGTTCTACCTGCTCGTGATCGATTAGCCGATAATTTTCAAACACCCTGTATACTGTGTGTTTCAAAATTCGCGTCCGCGAAGTACAAAACGTGATATTTTATGCTAAAAGAAACAACTTTTTCCTTTAGCAAAATTGCGTCCGATAAATAGTTTTTGCAGGAGAGCAGGTTGAAGTCAACAAATAAGCCCAAAAATTATTTATCGGACGCAATTTCGTTAAAAGAAAAAGTTGTTTGTTTTAGCATAAAGAGTATCACGTCTTATACTTCGCGGGCGCGAATTTTGAAAAACCCTGTACACACACACACGTACACGCACACACACGCACGCGCACTCACGCGCGCACACACGCGCGCACGCACGTACGCACGCACGCACGCAGAGGATGTCCGGAATACTTTGGAAAGTGATTTGGCCCCCCCCCCCCCCAAAAGGAAAAACCCAGGATGCACCACGTAAAGGCATAGTCCGCTTGGCGTCTCTTTAGTAAATTAAAAAAAATGTTTAAATAAAAAAAATAAAAAAGAGGGATGCCAAGGGGGACTATGCTTCCATGTGATGCATCCTGGTAACGCCAAATAGTCCGAAACGTAGTTATTTATGTTAAATCACTATGAAATAAATTTTGATTGCAATTATAAAAAATAAACTACAATTTTTTAAACATAAAAGTGGTTATGACTCGTAAACGAGTTATTTCCGGACCTATGTTTATATTTATTATAGCTTTTTTCCTTTTTTTTATGTCCCAATCACTTTCCGAATTATTTTCTTATATGATTTTTGTATTTTTAAAACAGAGAACTTTTGTTTTTAAAGCAGAGAATTTGTGTTTTGAAATAGAGAAATTTTTAAAGCAGAGAATTTGTCTTTCTTTTTTTAAGTAGAGAACGTGTTTTTTTAGCGAAGATTTAATATTATTACATACGCATATACTATACTAAAATTGCGTACAATTCATAAATTGCTTACAATAATTCATAAAAATAGTTTTATTAGTAACTTTTTAACAAATGAGCAAAAATTAATGGCCTTGACCTTTTTGAGGGTCAAGGTTAAAATCAAGGTCACTCGGAGATCATTTGGGGCTGACTGCAAAGCGAAATGTTCATCTTAAAACGTTGTTGCAATTTTTAAAATATTCTGCTGAAAATGTTGAAACATGTCATTTTTCTATCAATACAGCGATATACATATAGTTGTTATGTAGTATAACTAAAATTCCATAATATTGCTGTATGTATGTTGTGTTTCGTAAAGTTGCTACATACATCATCATTATCTGGAAATGGACGTTCATATCTATCGAACTAAGTAGATTTCAAACAACTGTTAGGAAAGTTACAGCAAGTCTTGCGTAGCATTTCTAAGAACTTTCGGCACTCATATGTGTATATGAAAAACTTCCGTTTATAATTTTCTTAAATACTTTGCCATTTATCAATGTCCTACCAAGAGCGTGTCTTCGAGCAAACAAAACGCCAATTTATGGACTGTCGTTTATCGCATGAACGTTTTCTAGAAACTTATTCGTCGCCACCTCCAGCATCCGTTTCGCAGTTGCAAGATCCGTTAACTTCCACAACTTCTGGCACATCATTGTTTGTTGTATCGTCCGCATTATTCTCCATAACGTATATCCTCTCTGCAGACTGTTCATCAATGATTTCGAGAAATTGTTCCTCGACTTTTTCTCCCCTTTCGGACTTGTCGACAATCGACTCGTCTTCTGTAATTCCCGCGGGATCTCGTATCGTTTCTTCGCTCTCCTCCTGACCGTGCAACGCTGTTATTACTCTCTGTTCGATTGTGAGCTGTTTCACGGCGTTTTCCAAATTATCCCTAAGAATATTTGCATCGTTTTCGCTCTCTGGCCACGTAAAAGGCATAAAAATCATTCGAACGAGTTGATAAAGCCGTCTAAAACCCAGCTTCTTGTACAAGCTTTGACTAGCTTCATTTTCTGGACGTATAACTACAAACGGATAATACCCTTTTTCGGCTACGCGTTTTGTCAGGTACCTAAAATTTCATATACATAAATTATTATATATTTTAATTTTAGCGTGTGCATAACGGTATCGCGATATAATATAATATTTATTAATATAAGCGATCAAGTTTTCATTTATAAAAACAATACACACACACACACACACACACACACACACAATTACTCTCTCGACTCTTTGGTTAAGTATTATTATTAGTTGCAAACACTGTATAGAACTCTCTTCTACCTTGCTAACTTTGTCCCATAACCCTTTCTTCGATATTCTGGCTTGGTCTGCATGGAGAACATAGCTCCGTAATAAGATTGAACCATCCAAGCGGCCAAGCTATCCTTCACGAACACTCCCGCCGCAGATAGAGTCCTGATAAGTCGAAGAAAAACCTCGGGACATTCCATGTCATTAGCTGGATACAATTCGTGGATTCCCTCGGCATGTTCGGCTTTAAGAGGCCGCACCTGGACATCAGAGTCGGACTCGTTGTCCACTTGTTGACTCTCCTTTTCCTGTTTAAAGTGCTCGCACGCGCAGACATCGCCTACCACTGTCTCGATAGTGCCGGTACTTTCGTAAAGACGCGTTAATTCCTCAGCAATATCGGAGTGAACGAAATTAATGTACAAAGGTCTCGACCAATCTATTAGAATGTTCTCCTCTCGGAGAAGGCGAAGCAGGTCTAGTCGATCATTCGGACAGAAGACACCGACGCTCTCGTACACCAAACCGTGTGGCTGAAACCATGACAGAAAATACGATTAACATCTCTGTGATACAGAAAAGAAGCTATGCTCGAACGATCTGGGAGATGGTAAAATCTTTGTCATTTATTTACTGTTTGTTGTTGCAATTTAATAAATAAATTAGATGCTCTGATACATATATATAATGTTTCATATGCAGGGTATTTGAAAAGTCCCGGACCCCTTAAATATTTTGAAAAGAAAGCATTTCTAAGAAAAATGTTTCATACAAAAGTTGTATAACTTAAAATGGTCTATTTATTGATCTTATCAGTTTGATCTTAGGTGGCGCCACTAAGGTCAGCTCAAGGTCAAATCGATCTTTTTAAAATCGAAACATCCTATTTTTTATTTTAAAATCTTATAACTGGTGTCAAGAGCTTTTCAAAAAACACTATATTAAAATTATTTTCCATTAAGTACTTTTCAAGCTATAAGATTTGAAAGTTACAGTATCGCCGGCATTAGCACTACCAAAGGTGTCTGACCGATGGCTAAAACCCAGGGTTTGACCAAGTGGATCCAACCCAATAAAACCCACTGGATTTTTTTGGGTTGAACTCACCTGAAAAAACCCAGTGAAAAACCTAGTCAACTTTTTTTATTGAAATATATAAATATAATAATTTTTCAAAAATATTCAACATTGAATTAAAGCGAACATTTCAAGACTCTTCAAGACTTTAATCAACTCTAGTATAGATCGGTAATGAGATTCAAAACATATTTTCTTCCACTAAATGGTGGAAAATTATGGAAAAAAATTGGAGAAATCAACAAAACTTCCAAAAGGATTCTGCAATTTCTTTTCCAATCTTTTGTCTGTCCCTTTTTCTTCAGCTTCTATTGAGCGAAAAATATATTTTTATTTCATTCAAATTCAAAAGTTACATATAACAACATTGTAATTTCAATTAAGACCAATCGATAACTAGTGAGTTGTCATCAATGGAACGCAAATAATAATAAACTTTAACAAGTTTTGTCGCTTTCTCGATTTCCAGACTGTTTCATAATTTGCTCCACACGAGTCCGAATGTTGAAAAGAATCGCTCAAAGCTGAAGAAGCAGGGACAGACAAAAGATTGGAAAAGAAATTGCAGAATCCATCTGGAAGTTTTGTTGATTTCTCCAATTTTTTTTCCATAATTGTCCATCATTTAGTGGAAGAAAATATGTTTTGTTAACCGAACCTCGTTACCGATCTATACTAGAGTTGATTAAAGTCTTGAAGAGTCTTGAAATGTTCGCTTTGATTTAGTGTTAAATATTTTTGAAAAGTGTAGTATGGACTTAACATGCACCAGTGTACACTAGTACATCCCAGGCGAAATCGCTACAACCCAGGTAGCAAGCTACGTCATTTTGACGTCATTTTGACGTCAAATGACGTCTTTTTGACGTCAAATGACGTCTTTTTGACGTCAGCTTACTACCAGGGAAGATTCTCTCTGTATCAAACGCTATCCTACAAATATGTATTTTTGTGTTATTTTTAATGCTGAATTTAATGGTGTAAAAATAAATTAATAAAAAATTTTTTTTCCATTTTTTTGAAAAAAAATTTGACAAAAAATAATTAGGTCGTAAAATTCATATTCTTATTTGTTGGATATCTTCATATAATATATAGGAAAAAAATGAGTAAAAAAATTGATCTTTTCTTGCTGTTGTAAAGTTTTCCTTAAAAAATAAACTTTTATTTTTTCAATGTCCGTGTATTTAATATTGTACTTTGTTTTCTCGCTGATATTCTCTTTATATAATATGTAAATACAATATAATAATATAAATAGTTCTTGGTCGCGGACCGATTCACACTTCGACTTACGTGAGCACCATTTGTCGTTGTATAGGTATTTGATAATCAAGAAGGATGAAATGCTATAAACAGCATACTGGTATTATTAATCATCTAACTGTAATCAGTTGGCTCACTCTGAGTAATTGAAATTTGAAGCTGTTTCTGTGTTGCTCTTGTGATTGTATATTACAAATATTATATAATTGTACAATAGATATGTTTATTATTTATCAGTCGAAATATATTGTAATTGATTTTTAATAAAATAATTGAATTTATTCAGTTGTTCAGTCACTATCATTAATATTCAGTAATATTATTTTATGTACATTTATAACTAGTTATGTATTTTTAGTTCCGTGTCTGAATCTCTGGAAATATCACAATCACAGAAATATTTTTTGTTCCAAATCTTCATATGTACCATCCAAAGTACTCTTCCAAAGTTATGTTTCGTCACAAATTACAAGTGTTAAATACAGAGATATTGAAAAAATAAAAATTTATTTTTCAAGGAAAACTTTATAACACCGAAAAAAGTTTAACTTTTTGAATCATTTTTTCCCTACGTATTATATGAGGGATATCCAACAAATAAGTATAGATTTTACGATCTAATTATTTTATGTCAAATTTTTTTTCAAAATAGAAAAAATAGAAAAAAATAGAAAAAGAATTTTTTTATTAATTTATTTTTACACCATTCAATTCAGTGTTTAAAATAATGTAAAAATACATATTTTTAAAATTTTTAATGAAAGACTACTGATAATTGATTTTTGTGTGAATGCCTTTCCTTAAGAGGTTTTAGTCGTCGGTTGAACACGTTGGATAATGCTAATGTCGGTGGTACTGTAATTTCCAAGGTTTATAATTTGAAAAGTACTTGATGGAAAATAACTTTTTTAAAGTGCTTTGAAAAGCTCTTGACATCAGCTATTAGATTCTGAAATAAAAAATAGGATGTTTCGTTTAAAAAAATCAATTTGATCTTGGTGACGCCATCTAAGGTCAAACTGATAAAATCAATAAATAGACCATTTTAAACTATACAACTTTTATATGAAAAATTTTTCTCAGAAATGCTTACTTTTCAAGATATTTAAGAGGTCTGGAACTTTTCGAATACGCTGTATAAGGATAAAGTTTCACTTTTTCGAAATTGACTTTTAAAATCTAAATTTTCAATTAAAAAAGTCAGTATTTTGTTTGTAGTTGATTATAGTAAAAATGTTTTTGTTTGTAGTTCCATATATTAAAAAATATTAAACTTTGAAAAAATGACTGTCATCCGACTTTTAGATAAACAAAAAAATACTAATGCATAGGGTAACTCCGGCAAATACGCCGCAGAAGTCAGAAAAAATAGAAGGAATTGTGGGTAATATTTTCCCACAATTACTCTGTTACATGCCTTTATGTTATATTAGTCGTATCTATCAAAACATCTTAAAAAGTTCCACCCGGGAGACACAATAATCTATAAATGCTCAAAATGCAATTACACACCAAAAGGAAAATATCATACATATAGACAAGTGAAGGCTCACTATATCAAATGCCATGTGTCTCCCGCGGAAGATACGGCGGGTCAAAGCACTCGCGGTAGCCTCAGCGGGTGTAATAGTGGGGCCCAATCACGCGTTCGCGATCGTCCGATGCTGTCACGGGAGGCGGGTGTGCGTCGGGGGGCGAGGG